TATTGCAAGACACGTGTCAATACACCATTTGTTGATAACTATGGATGGCTTCATAACAAAACCGTAACATAAACACAATATCACAAGTAAAGAAAATAGGATAAATCTAGAAATTACAATTTCACCCTTTTATTATTATTATTTTTTTAATCTTGATGATAGCTTCTTTTCTCTCTTTTGCCACATATTTTTTTCTATAACTTTTTTCATGTCTTTTTTAACTAATGTATGTAGAATTATAGTTATATATTAATAATTTACAAATTCAACAATTATATTGTCGAGTCAACTATACCACAACATAAATTTTTTGTTCATAAAATTTTAAAAAATATATTATTTTCAATTATTTTATTATGTTGATGATTTTTTTTTTTGTTAATTTATTCTAACTTATTGTGATTGTATTGATGTATTTAAAATATATTACATGTGAGAAATATGACATATTATAAAAATTATAATTTATAAATTGTAAAAACAGTATGCTATTTGATGGTATAGTGCCCCCTGTAAGAAATTATTTTGGATCTGCCACTGCAATTAGCTTTCCAATGAAACTTTAATTGAATTTTTTACAATTCCAATGACTGTTTTTCCAATGGTTGAAGTATTGTCAGAGAAAGATTCTAATAAAAAATCACACAACAATAAATAATAGTAATTGGAATAACTAAATCAGTTAAATTCTAATGTAATTTAATGTTTTGTCTGTTGCAATAGCCAATGAAATTTCTAAATCAAAGTTATACCAATGAAATATCCGTTGGAATTTTCAGTGGAATACCTTACGGTGGATTTTTTTTTCATTGTATTCATTCTTAAAAATTAAACTCTTATATGGTATCTTTTGTTATTAATTAATTATCTTTACAATTTTGCTATTAAAATACATTAAAAACACATGGCTTTTTAGTCCATGTAATTTTTTAGAAACTACTCATTATTTTATCTCAAGATTACCTATTAATTTCTTTATTGAGTTATATTGCTTACATATTAAATATTAAATAATGAAAATATTTTTTATTATACTAAAAAAACTAATAGAATATAGAAAATTTTATTTAAAATTAGAACAATCAAGTTTTTTTATTTATTTATTTAATTTTAAAAGTTCTAACATAAATGGATAAAAGTAGAAATAACTATTGTCTGTCACCTAAATCTTACACATCCCCTCTTAATATAATTTCAAAACGTGCTGAGTCTAAATGGCTGCCTCGCACGCTTCGGAAGCTTACTTGGTAACATTACATGCTTTGGCTTTTGGTTCGGTTACATTTCCTAATTGTTTAAAATAAAATACTTAATAAATCAGATTTTTGCTTAAACCGATCCCTTCCAACTCCAAAATAAATAGAATTCTTATATGCTGTGTAAATCCTCCAACTCCAAAATAAATAAGATTCTTATCTTATATGCCGTGTAAATAGGATTTTTTGTTTAATATAATAATAAAAAATTTAGATGTAATTCATGAAATACCAAAATAAACAATAACTTTTTTATGTAGTTTAAATTTTAAAAAAAAATACTATAGTTTTACAAAAATAAATTGAACACATATATATCCACTTGCATATTATATCTTTTCAATCCAACTGTAGTGAATAAATTATTTAAATCTTTTTAGAATATCTATAAAAATGCATTGAAATAGTTATAGAATATTACATGATCTTCCTAATATATTTTAAAGAGTTGAAATAAAAATAAAATAATGTTGAACCTAAATGGCTGCATCACATGCTTCGGAAGCTTACTTGGCAACATTACATGCTTCGACTTTTGGTTCGGATAAATTCCCTAATTGTTTAAAATAAAATACTTAATAAATAAGTTTTTTTGTTTAATCCGATCTCCTTCAACTCCAAAATAAATAGGATTCTTATATGCTGTGTAAATCCTCCAACTCCAAAATAAATATGATTCTTATCTTATATGCCGTGTAAATAGGATTTTTTGTTTAATATTATAATAAAACATTTAGACGTATTCACCAAAATACCAAAATAAACGATAACTTTTTTATATATTTTAAATTTTAAAAAAAATACTATTATCTTACAAAAATAAATTGGACACATATATAGCCACTTGCATATTATATCTTTTCAATCCAACATGAGTAAATAAATTATTTAAATCTTTTTAGAATATCTATAAAAATGCATTGAAGTAGTTATAGAATATTACATGATCTTTCTAATATATTTTAAAGAGTTGAAATAAAAATAAAATAAATTTTGATGAACACCATGTAAATAAATTATTTAAATTTTTTTAGAATATCTATAAAAGTACATTGAAATAGTTATAGAATATTACATGATCTTTTTCATATATTTTAAAGAGTTGAAATAGTTATACAACAACTTGCGTTTTTTCTATTATTTTATATTTTATATTTTTTTTTTTCAAACAACCTGTGTAGTACACGGGTGTCGTACTAGTAGAATTAATAATCACAAAACATTAACAAATGCTTACAGCTCAACTCGTTTATATTGATACATAGAAGTTTTAAAAGTTATATATTTATTTTAATCGATTATAACACTTTTAATATTATTTATGGAATTTAATATTTTTTTAATTTATATTTTTCTTTCATATGTTTATATATATAACATTTATATTTGTAAAATTCATAAAATAAATTACAGAATTTTTTGGGTCATATGTCTTATTATAAATCAATTAATTTTATATCTTTATATTATACTGTATAATAAAAATGTTCTCATTAATATTATATTCAAATATTCATAATTTGTAAATTCTTCAATTATAGTGTCGAGTCAACTATAATACCACATAAAGTTTTTGTCTAAAAACAAATTCTAAAAAGTATATTGTTTTCAATGATTTTCTTATATTGAATTAAGAAAAATCATGCTTTTTTTTAATATTTTCTAACTTATATGTGGTAAAAATGTATTATAGATGAGAAAGATAACAAACTATGAAAAATATAATTTATAAATTGTAGTGCATTATGTTATTGTGATGGTATACTTTTTCTATTAACTAAATAATGTCCAATATGAAATTATTTTGTATCCTCCACTGCAATTAGCTTTCCATAAACTTATATTGAATTTTTTAAAATTCCATTGACAATTTTCCAATAGTTGAAATATGGTTCGAAAATAAATTCTAACTAAAATTCACACAATAATAAATAATGGTAATTAAAATCATTAAATCAACAAAAATTTTAATGTAATTTAATTTGATCTCTATTGGAATAGAAAATGAAATTTTTCAATGAACACTACATCAATGAAATGTTCATTGTAAATTTCAGTGGAATACCTACAATTTTTCTATTAAAAATATATTTAACACATGAACTTTTTAGTCCATATATATATATTTTTTTTTTAAAATCACTCATTATTTTATCTCAAAATTACATATTAATTTCTCAATTGAGTTAAATTTCTTACATATTAAATATTAAATAATAAAAATTTTGTTATTTTATATATGTAATATGATATTTACATATTATATTAAAAAAAATAATAGAAAATAAAAGGTTATTTAAAATAAAAATAATCATATTTTTTTCTAAAAAAAAAAATTTCTAACCTAGATGGATAAAAGTACAAATAACTATGGTCTATCACCTAAAACTTATACATAGAACTAAAGCACAAAAAATTAACAAGCATTGAACAATTCAGTTCGTTTGCATCGATAAGTACAATTTTAAAAGTTTTATGCTTATTTTCATTAATTACACCATTTTTATTTATTACTTCTTTTCATATTTATTAGTAAGTATGACAACGTAATTATATTTTTTTATAATATTTAGAAAATTTAATATTGTTGTACTTTATACTGTTCTTTCATATGTTCTTCACCTAATGTTCAGGTAAAAATTAGTTAACTTTATTGGCCTTATGACCAAAATTAGAAAAAATAATCAAACAAACAAATAAATAATGTTTTTTATGAGATAAAAATTCAATTCTATAAATCTAAGGTGCAATGTTGAGGTTGACAGATATGTGAAAGAAAAAAATTTGGTACGAATAACGGTATGAGAGTGTTGAGGTTGATTTTTGGGAGATCTAGAATGTTTTGTTTGTGTATCTATATTTATTTAATTAAATATTAATTATTGATTAAATTTATAAGATATGATGAGTATTAGTGTATTACTAATTTTTCATTAAAAATAAGTCAAAGTAAGGATTTTTTAAGTAGCTCATTTGTTAATTAAAATATAAAATAAGATGGGTATTATTGTATTACTAATTTGCCATTAAAAATATGTCAAAGTAAGAGCATTTGATGCTGTTTATATTTTTACAAAATCACTCGTCCTTATATAATAGTATAGATATAGATATAGATAGATAAATAGATAGATAGATAAATAGGTATTTTTGTATTAGAAGTACCACAAATTGACTCATATAATAGTTAGATCACCTCACACAAAAAACTGTGTTGGTATATATATACAAATATCTTTTTAACTTACAATGAATTTTTATTATTTTTCAGATCAATTTAATGACAATATCCAAATTCAATTAAAATGCATATTAAAATAAAACACGCATAGTCAATAATTAATTCCTTAGAGGTGTCCAGACCAATATTATTTGTGGGGACATCAAAGAATACAAATTTCTTATTAATTTGTCTTGGAAAGATAATTGTGTTCAGACCAAGTCAATACTTGTCTGCTCTACCTAACTTTACTATATATATGCCATGCAGGTTAATATATATGCATGCATAAATGAACAATTTTTAGAACACATTAATTAGGATAAAGAAAAGCACCAATCCATGAGAAGGATTTAAGTTTCCAACTACTTTTCAAAAGTTACTTGACTCGTACAAAGAGCAAGAAGGTTCACTGTAATGTTGTTGACGTATATATAACACTCCCAAGCTAGTCGTTTATTTATACAATACCAACATCAGTTCAAATTCCAAGCCCAATTAAAATTCTGCAAATTACAATAATAATGATGAGTGCACCAAAACCTTCTATCCTTGCAGCTTTGTTTTGGGTCCTCCTTTTCATGTCTTTGACACTAAGCAAATGTATCAACTGCCCTGAAATTGAAAAACAATCACTTTTAAGCTTCAAGCGATCTCTAAATGGCTCCTCAAACTTGTTGTCTTCTTGGGATGCTAAGTTCGATTGTTGCACGTGGAAAGGTGTTGTTTGCAGCAACTTAACCGGCCATGTTCTTCAACTTCATCTTCAATACAATTCTTTAGGTGGGAAGTTAAACTCATCTTTGCTCAACTTGAAGCATTTGAAATATCTTGACCTGAGCCAAAACAACTTTCATGAAAATATCCCTTCTTTCATTGGATCTCTCACAAGCCTCGAGTATTTGAATCTATCACTCGCTGGATTTTATGGAAAGATTCCCCACAGTATTGGGAATCTCTCAAATTTGCACGGTCTAAGTTTGGGACTTCATAAACTATCAGAGCAACAGTTGTGCGCTGATAGTCTTGAATGGTTGTCGGGACTTACTAAACTGGAGCACCTCAACATGAATGGTGTGAACCTCAGCAAAGCAAACAACTGGGCCCAACAGGTTATGAACAAACTTCCTTCTTTAGTTGAGCTGCATTTTAGTGGATGTAATCTTAATTTGATGGCTCCTCTGAATGATGTTTACAATATCAGCCGTTCTAAATTAGCCACTCTTGATCTGTCCTCCAATTCCCTGTCTTATGCCATCATCCCTCCGTGGGTTTTTCAACTCAGCAACCTTATCTATCTTGATATGAGTTTCAACTCATTGGAAGGCCCAATTCCAACAATGAGCAATACCACAAAACTCCAACACATTGATCTCACCCTTAACAATTTGAATTCAAGCATTCCACACTGGCTCTTCTCCTGCAAACACCTTGAATATGTAAGTCTGGCAAACAATCTTCTAAGAGATGGAATTTCCAATTCCATAGAGAATTTGACATATCTCAGTATCCTCGAATTAAGAGGAAACAAACTTTCTGGAAAAATACCAAGAGAAATTGCAAACCTGTGCAATATTCAGGCCTTGAGTTTATTGAATAATAATTTCGGAGGAGAGATATCGGATTCATTTGGAAACATGTCAGATTGCTTCTTAGGAACATTGGAATTTTTAACTTTGTTTGGGAATCAGCTCTCAGGTCATCTGCCTCCTCAATTTGGAGGATTTACGCGTCTTCGATACCTTAATCTTGCAGAAAACTCATTGTCCGGTGTAATTCCAGACGAAATAGGGAACTTGCTTTCCCTTGAAATGTTATACTTGGATAGTAATAAATTTACGGGCAACTTACCCGAGAGTATTGGGAAACTTGTGAACTTGACAGATCTTTGGATACATGATAACATGTTGGAAGGGGTTGTGACTGAAACCCACTTTGCCAATCTTTCAAATTTAAAATTCTTCGGAGCCTCTGGAAACCACTTGACGTTGAAAGTCAACCCAAATTGGATTCCACCATTCAAACTGAAGGGGCTTTACCTACAGTCTTGGGGCTTGGGATCTCCATTTCCGTTATGGCTTGAGACTCAGAAAGAGAGTATCTCCAGTCTGGATTTATCGTGTACTGGAATCTATGGAAATGTTCCCAGCTGGTTATGGAATTTGAAGTCTTTCAAACTTTCGCATAACCAACTCGACGGAAAGATTTTATCCATTATTAGTGATCATGAAAAAGATGATTATGATGTCCCCTTACATGTTTTTGACGTGAGTGACAACAGGTTTAGTGGTCCACTGCCTCCACTAATGACGAGTTCATCCTTAGAACTCCATTTCTCCAATAACTCACTTTCCGGAGGTTTGTCCGATTTTCTTTGTGTCAATACATCAAATGTAGTGCATATAAATTTTGGAGGAAACCATCTTTCTGGAGAGTTACCTGAATGTTTTATTAAATGGCAATCATTGCAAGTGTTGAACTTAGGCAACAACAAATTGTCCGGAAGAATACCGAATTCCATGGGATTTTTTAAAGATTTAGTGTCTTTGAATCTCCACGGAAACAGTTTCTCTGGACACATTCCTTCTTCATTGCAAAAATGCACCAAACTAGAAATGATCGACTTTGGTGATAACAGTCTTGATGGGGACATACCGAAATGGATTGACACAAGGTTTTTCAATTTGAGATTTCTGATTTTGCAGTCCAACAATTTGAGTGGTGAAATTAGTCCGTCCATATGTCAGCTCACTTCTCTTCAAGTCTTGCTTCTCTCTAATAACCAACTGTCAGGGAGGCTACCTCAATGCCTTAACAATCTTACCACAATGACCACTAAAAGGATTTTGGATAGGCCAAAATATTCTGTATCTATGGAAGGTTCTATTATATTTGGAGTAGAAATTCAGGAGAGCGCATCAATTTCAATGAAGGGTAGAGAACTCATCTACGATGCCAATCTCTTTTTGGTTATGAGTATTGACCTTTCAAACAACATCCTGTCTGGTGATATCCCAAGGGAGATAACAAGTCTGGTGGAACTCCATTCATTCAACCTGTCCGGAAATCGTCTAACGGGATCCATCCCAAACGACATTGGAAACATGAACCAACTTGTATCTCTTGATTTCTCCAGGAATTCATTATCCGGCAAGATTCCAAGTAGCATCACAACCATTTCTTTTTTGAGTAGCCTAAATCTGTCGTATAACAACTTGACAGGGAGAATCCCACAAAGCACCCAAATTGGGAGCTTCAACGAGTCAAGCTTCATCGGCAACAATCTTTGTGGCTTTCCACTAAGTATTTCTTGCAAAAATGATGGTAATGCCCCTGCCCCAACACAGGTGCATATTCAAGGCCGAAAAAGCAATAAGCAAGAGATTGATTTGTTTTACGTATTCCTATCTTTAGGGTACGCTGTTGGGCTTTCTGTTGTCCTCACTGCATTGTTTTTTAAGAAGAATTGGAGGGAAGCTTATTATGCCTTCTTTCAGAAAATGTCGGACAATCTTTATGTGTATTTCGTTATCCAATGGAGGAGGCTCATGACAGCGTTGGGTCGAAATCCCTAATGGCTCAGTCAACAAATTATGGATGGCTCTGCTCATATATATGTGTGGTATTTTGGTTCTAGTCTCTAATGTGTGTGTTTTTAAATAAGGTATTCGGATGTACTATGTTTTATTATTTAATCTTGGACTGCTATAAGATTTTATATCTAATGATTATTAGTCTATCATTTACTATCAGTAATTATTATATCTAGCTCTTACTTGCATGATGATATCGATAATAGCATTATAAGAGACTTTTCATAAACAATTTTGTTCTCTAATCCTCAAACTTTTGCAATTAATGTGCAAGTCCCAATAGTTTCATAGCCTCGGTTCCTCTATGCGCACACTAGACTATAAATGTAACTCCCTTTAAAGAGTTGTTGTTTCTACAAAAATTAAATTCCCAAAAATACAGTAATTTCTAAGGTTACTAATGTATATCATTAATGAGTTACAAAATAGTTACATTCATTTTTCAATCAATATTGTTTGATCTTTTATATTTTTATGCTTACTTTATCTTTGATCTTAAATCAGCTTTTTTTATTATATATTATGCATTCAATAATTTATTTTTTAGTTGATATAGAGAAATTATGATTATCTAGCAAATATAGAAATATAAAACAAAAAAATAATATAAACATAATATGACTATTACAAGGTTAATGGTCAAAAATTATAATTGGACCCATAATTTGGCCAAAGTCCAAAAATTCACCCCCTATTGAATTCTAACAAAGTGGATCCCATAATTTATCAATTTCATCAATTTTGGTCTCTTTTTATCTGCACATTGAATAAAAAATGACGTCGTGTGACATGACGCCCAATCATATTGATTTATGATTTTTGGGTGTGATGTGACACTCACACTGATATTTAATTAAAAAATTAAAACAAAAAATTGGTTCAACCAAGTGGAAATAACACCTANAAAAAAAAAAAACCAAAAATTGGGTTACCAAAGTAAAAATAAGCCAAATTTTTTTGAAAAAAAATAAAATTATAAATCTCCCCGCAGTTGTTGTCGGATGTAATTATGCTCCTACCACATACACTGTCGGCGAATAACGAAGCTCTACCGTCGCCGCCGTTGTTTCCGGTGTTCGGCCTGCCTAAGGAACCGCCACCGCTTTCACCGGAAATTTCGTTATCATTTTTTCCTCTACCCTCTCTGAGGAACCCTACAATTCCCGATCCCTCAGGCGTCGGAGATTGATCCGGTATCGTTCATGGCCGTGCCGCCAGCAGTGGATCTCGACGTTAATCCTGATTCACCTTCTTTCAGTTGACAAATTTGAAATGTTTTCTCTTTTTTCTCCCCACGATTTATGTTTTTAATGTCTTTTGCTTCGTCCTATATTTCTAATCTTCAAACAATAATTTAATTTGTTCACTTTAGATAATTATGGTTATCAAAGATTAATGTAAATGTTATTTCTCAGTACTATAAATTATTTTCCATATTAACATATTTGTTTCTCATCCCAGTTAAAGAAAATGCATACCAGGAATTTCACTTTAGATAATTATGCTTCGTCCGATCGGGTGCGCGGCGGCGCAAGGAGTCCGGAGGTATTTTCGTATTTTGGTGGGTCGCGTGAATTGTCGGGAAATTAAAGTAGAAGAATAGATTTGATCGGAATTTTTTAGATCTAAGAACTTTGACTGGATAAATTGATGGCATTACTGGTAGAATTTCTAACAAAAATTTTAGGAGGTGAACGAGGACGAGAAGAGCTTTAAGAAAATATAAATTCTTTTTCGATCAGATGTGGTCGACCGGCGACCGGCGATCAGCGATCAGCAATAGCAGCCTGCGGAGGCGTCGGTTGACCTGATGTGTTGACCCTGAAACTGGGTGTTGACCATATCAAGTTAAGTTTAAGAATTGGGAATGAAATATCGTTTCCTGCCTTTTTCTAATCCCGTCACAACACTTGTTTTATTTAGGATGCATATAAAAAGAGACGAACATTGATGAAATTGACAAATTACTGGACTCAGTTTGAAAGTGGTCAATGACGGGATGGATTTTTGGACTTTGGCCAAATTATGACCAATTATGAATTTTGGACTAAGGTTAATTTTTATTTTTTTTATGTTATATGAGATCATCAAAATTTTGGATCAAAAATATATTTCTGATCTCTCTTTATTACTTAGTTTAAATTTATTAATTATCAAAAGAACAATTATCATTTCTAATACTATTTTTACAAATGTCAATTATGTTTTAAGTTTAAAATTTTTTCTCAGTTATATTATTTTATATTTACACTATCTATCAATTGAGTTATTAAGAGTTAAAAATATAAATTTTAATACAAGATAATAAATAATTCTTAATAATCTATTTTTTTAACAATTGATATCATATTTGTTTCGTTTTTAAAATATCATATTGTGTATTTTTTTATTTAGATGTTATTCTTTTTTATGTAAAATTAAAGTGAAAAATATGTGTGTGAAGTATTATACCTTTATAAGTGTTAGAAGCCAAACTATAATCTTCACATTTTTTTTTCCGAAACGATAGAGATTTTATATAACTAAAACCGCGAAGAGAAAACAGCCAAAGCTGAAAGATACAACCAAAGGCAAAAAAGACTAGGAGAACAGATCCGAAGATCGCCTAGAACTTAACCTAGCAACAGTAGAAGAACATATTCACGACAACACAAAACAAAAAACTAAAATAAAAAAAAAAAAACTACGAACTCCTAAACAAGAGACTAACACGATCCCAACAGGATAATACCGATCACACTCGGGCGCACAGGGGTCAATGACCCAAACCAAAAAAGCGAGACCTAAACAAATATTTCTTAAAAAAATATTTTTTTTATTTTGTAAAATATGATTAATCCAACTATTGAAGTAGTTTTTATAATACCTATATTATTGTGAAAAGTATTCCAGATCATATTATTTAATTTATATCATAACAATAAATTAATTAAATAATTAATTAATAACATTATTATTTGTATTAAAAATGGTTAATTTTTCTTTTATTATTTTTCTTAGACCATTAAAATTTAAGACCAATATAAATTAAAGAATTATACTCTTTCAAAACCTAAATTTCTGTCCATTAAAAAAATCAATTACAATTTCATATAGCATTCGTAGAATTTGAGACAAATTTTATGAAAATAAATATTCTTTCTCGTCGACTTCTCTATTAGATTGTTTAGTTGTTGTAAATAATTATATTATTTGTTAGCTTAGTCATTGAAATATTTAACGTACCTTTTCAATTTAAGCAAATAGTTGAGGATTTTATTTTATTTTTTTTTAATTTTGAGATAAATAAATAACCTTTATACCTCAATATTATTTTTTTTCCCTTTCAACATTATTTGTTGTATGGTTGTATGAACATTTCAACCAAATGTATTTTATTTTTCAAGTACAAGGTACATATTTGTTCATTAGGGAATATATGTTTTCTAATTTCTAAATTCTAAATTTTCACATACGCAATAAAAAGATTTTTTTGTCTTGGTTTCAATTCAATACTAAACAAGTCTGAACTAATTGAATATTTGTATCAGAAATTCCTGGAATTGATTTCTCATTTCCATAAATGGAACGCCCACTCTGATTTTAAGAAAATACTAATATTTTCAAGTCAATTTAAACTTTTTCTAAAACATGAAAATTCTTTTTCTTGGATCGTTATCCATAAATACTCTTTCTTGCGGAAAATTCTAACTCTTTTCTTCTCTCTGGCTCTCAAAATAACTCAAGAGCGAAAATAAACTCAAACAATAATGCATAATGTCTCAACATGATCAATTTCATAACCCTCAAACTCAACATGCAAATCATAATATCCAATGTCTCAACATGGAAATATAATAATGAAACTGAAACTGCCAATGTCTGAAATAAATAACTGAATATAATAACTGATGAATAACAAAATAATATGACTGAAGACCACTCCGTCCTGCCTCATGTTCCGCCTATCTAGCTGCTTAACCTGAAAAGGTTGGTGTGGGGGACAAGCAACATAATAATCAACGTGCTCACCTGGAGTCTATATAGTACGGACATCGAATTAAACAAAAAATACCGTTGTAAGCAGATATAATATACAAATAATGGTTTCGAACCTGGCTAAGGTGCATATAAAGCTCTGGCAACCGTCAAGTCGGTGCATCTAATCTCATTTCTATTCTATTTTGTTTTGTACTGTTTGTCTGTTTGTCTGTTGTCTAACTTAGCCCCTCGGAGCACTGCCTCTCAAGGTACTAGCTAGCATACGACACATCTGATCTGGGAACAATTACAAAAATAGTTGTTCATACTGTACGTGATCAACCGTCACCGCTTATAACTGAAAACTAAAAACTGGAAACTGAAAACGAAAACTGAAAAACGGAAACACATAGTTCATGCAAATAACGGCAAACAAAAATATCACAATTGATATAGCCATATTAAGGTATGCCGGTTTAAGTATCAGTTGCTTGACCGACAGCGAGTCGAGCAACCTACATGTCGATTTACACTAGCACGTCTTCGACCGACTTTTTATACAGCTGAGGCAGAGAAAGTCGACTTCTACAAGTCGACCTCCTCTGTGTCGCCATAGCGGAAAAAGTCGACAACCTCAAGTCGACTTAATCCATGACCGAGGTCGACATCCTCAATGTCGACTTCGTCAACTATCTAAGTAGAGGGAGAGTTACCTAAAGACGATTTACTATGTCAAAAAGGTGATGATGGTTCAAAGAGAAGTGGCAGAGTCTCCTGATATGTTCCTGTGCGAGATCCCCTAAGTCGACCTTTGGATACTTGAGGTCGACTTCTCACTCTTCGAGGTTTAAAGCGCATGACGACTCGAGACACTTCAACATTTCCTAACAAGTCCCCTAAACAACGGTGAATCTTTATTGGATAAGAGGGAATCTTGAGCTGGCTCGGATCTGACTAAGAGGTGATTGGAATACGAATCGACCAGGGCATTTTGGGTACTTTAGGGCATGCTTGTTTATGAA